GTCTCAGACACTCGAGGAGAGGGGCGATCCGGAAGCGAGTGCGTGGCACGAGAGGGCCCTAGTCGAGACAAGGAGGGTGGCGAAGCAATTGAGCACCCTCGCCAGGGACGTTAAGACTCGCTGGGCCACCCCTGAGAGCCGCGTTCTGGGTCATGTTATCCTCGCCCCGCCTATCGGTGTCAATGTCGGCGAGGGGGGTTACACCGAAGACTGGGCTGTCATTGAGATTGACATTTCCAAGGTCGACGCCAGCAATTTCCGAGGCAACGCTATCAACTCGGCACTCATTACGCACCTGCCAAGTTCACTCGCATGATGCGTCCCAACTTTGCAAATCTCAAATCATTTGAGTACCCGGACGATTATCTTTTGAAGCTCAAGGGAATCATTCACGACGAAGAAATGAAGCACCCAGCTTCATCGGACGAAAACAACGACCGCTGCCTCATGGTCATTAAGCGTGGCCGCGCCACTGGCCTAACCATTGGCCGTGCCAACGAAATCTGCTCCTATGTCCGCGAAGGCTACTCTAAGTATGGCGTTTACGGGACTTCAAAAGAATGGACGATTATCCCGTGCGACTCCAAGCATGGCCCCTTCTCGCTCGCGGGCGACTCAGGCTCTGTCATCGTCGACGGCCAAGGACGCATTGGCGGCCTCCTTACTGGCGGTACTGGCCTCGCAGATCCGTCGGATATTACCTATGCCACGCCTATTAGCTTTATCCTTGACAGAATGCAATTCCACGGACTCTCCAAGCCCAACGTCGACTTTTAACCTTGCCTAGAGTGTAGTCTCGCTATCGCAACCTCTTGTTTACTTCTCCTTGGACATTGTCAACTTAGCTTCATAGTATCCCCTTTCCCTTTCGCTAATGTAATTGTACGCATACTTGTACAGTAAATCCTGCATAATTCAACTTCGGGGCACGACACGATCAAGTCATTTTCGAGATGACGAACAACTCGCCGCTAGAGTCGCTGCTCACGAACAGCCGTCCGTCGTCCGCGAAGGCGAGGCCGACCGGACGGATGCACGTGCCGGGGCAGCTGGTGAGGTTGGTCGCCTGTGCGAGGAAGGTGTACCCGGTCTGCGACGAAGGCGGCGCCGAGGGCTGTAGCCCGCTGAACGGCACCCTGGTGAGTCGAGCGTCGTCGTCAGTGCACCACGCAAGACATCTCCGACACGAGGGACACTTGCCTGACGACCCCGTACCCCGTGGGCGGCGTCCGGTCAAAGCTGCCGTGGAAGGACACGAACGCGTCGCCGGCCCAGGACGCAGGCAAGGCCGGCGTCGCGTCGTGCTCCGTGCCGGCGGGGAGGAAAAACTTGATGTCCAGCGGGACGGAGTGTGCCTATAAAGAAAGCAGTTAGCGTCGAAGTCCTCATGTCAAGAGATAGCAGGCAGCGAGCTGCTCACCTGGAAAGACAGTCTAGGCGGCACGTTATCCTCTGGGTTCTGGCAGAAGGCGTCGCCTCTCTGCGGCTCAAGCTCCAAACTGAACTGTTCACCTGTCTTGAAGCCGAGGAACTGCGGGTCCCCGACAGGGTCTGCGTTCGGGTTCCACAGCGTCGTGCAGTCCGGGAAGCCGTAGAACCGGTTGACACTCCCAGGCTCTGCGGCGGCGGCGTCGACGAACTCGAGCTCGTCGGCCGGGTTGTCGTTCACGAACGTGGGCGTGAGGCCCGTCGTGTTGTCGATGCTCGCACCGTTCTCAACGACCCACAGGTTCGACGAGTGCGGCGGGAGGAAGGCGAGCCCTGCGGGGTTGCGGATCCCGAACGCGAGGAGCGTGCCCGCGAAGAAGTCCTGGGGTGACGCACTGCGAGTGGAGGGTAGGGCGAAGCGCCGCACCTGCGAACGCCCCGAGGACGCGTTCCGCGCGGAGGGGTCGATGTTCGCCGCGGGCGCGCTGGAGACGAGGATGTGGGTCGCGTTGGTGCTCGGGAAGAGGAGGATCGGGCGGGTGGTGAGTTCTAAACTCGTCTCAGCACAACAGGTTCCGGCAGCGTTCAGTGGACAGACGCACCTCCGTCGGGCGGGACGCCATCCACGATGACCTCGGGCTCGCCGGTGACCCGCCGCGCAGCGGTGTCGTACGCGAACCGGAGCACCTCGCCAGACGTGCTGACGTACAGCCGCGCGCCGTCGACCTGTATGCCCTGCGTCAGGTTCGCGTTCTGCAGGACGACCGACCGGAGCCAGCCGTCGCAGCCGGGCGCATCTTCGACAAACGCGGTGACGCCGAGCCCACGCTCGACGACAAGGAGGGCCCCTGCGCCGTCGAACACGATGCCGCGCGGGGTCACGAGGCCGGCAAAGATGGGTGTCGTGGCGAGGCCGGAGGCTGTGGTGACGGGCGAGCGGAACGCGAGTGCGCCGTGCGGAGTGCACTGTGCGTGAACAAGCGTCGCAGACGTCACCAGCTGGAGCACGGTGAGCAGTGCAGTGCACGATACCATGGTGCGGTCCCCGGTGTGGTGCTTACGCAACGCGAGGTTTGCGTGGCTTCCAACCGCGGCCGTTCGGCGGCAGATCGCGTCCTCGGATGCATGCCGCCCGAGCATCCTAGGAAACTGGGCCCGTGCCTACTTGCATGTGCGCGAGGCCACATATGCGGCAGGAGCGAAGGTTCAGCGAGCCACGTTTGCTAGGGCCCAGGAACGTTGCAGGGTCACCAGCGTGTCCGGGAAAGCCTATGTCGCTGATCCGCGAGAGCGAATGCTCGAAAAGTTCGAATTCGACGAGCCCCGCCGTGAGGTCATCTCGCGATCGTGCGCCGCGAGCGTGTCACCGACGAGGAACCTCGCGAAACGCGTTGTTTAGGATCCTCGGACCCTGCGCGGTGTTATTCGGGTGTACCGTCGAAGTGCTCGGCCCGAGAAGCAAGTTGCGGTCGCAGTACAGGGCATCCGCCCAGAGCGGCGGTCCATACTCCTTATCAGAGGTTGAAGCTGAAGGCCTGCGGGATCACGCCGGAGAAAGTAATATTGTATACAACGGAGCCTTGAGTGGGGCATATGAACCCTGTGTGTCGCATCTTCAGATTTTGCTTGCTTGCTTGCGAGCTCGAAGTTGATGAGATGCAGGCGCTTTCCTTTATCATCGGTTTCTTCGGCGCTTCAGGGTAGGTCGCATCAAAGTGAACAAGCAGGACACATTACAGATCTCGCATAATTGTGCTACCATACTCAGGAAGCCAACTGCGCAGAGCCTGCGGGCCTGAAGCCTCCAAGGGATCGCGCCGCTGCGGACCGCGCACGCATGAGCGCACGGGCGCGGCGAGTTCGTTTCCCCGAAAGGCAGGCCCTACCCGCGTAGGCCCCAGGCGTAATGCAGCGTCATGCGCTACACGCACGCACGCACGGGAACCACGCGGGCCCGGCGGCGGCGGAGGCCCATCCACACCAACACGGTCCAGTGCGCCGTTGTTCTTGGAGGGCAACGTCAGGGGGCGTGGCTTGGCTTCTGTGACACGCCGCCGCCTCGCGGGCAGGCCCCTGCACAGCCCCCAGCCCGCCTAGCCAAAGGACCCAATCGCTATTCCGCCGCACTAGCAGCGAGCGGGATTCTCGTCGTCGTCGTTGGCTTGGCGACGACACACACGCCGCACGCGTGTCGTGTCGTGTCGTGTCGCGTGCGCATCTGTCCTCGTCCCGCCGTCCGCCCTTGTCGTCCTCCGCGTGTCGCTTGTTTTTTTTTTTTCCCGGCAACATTGCAGGCTGTCACCGCCGCCAAAACGATCGCGACGTCCACCTCTCTGTCGATCTCTCTTTGCGCGACCCTTCCCCGCGCGCGCATGCACACATGTCGTTTTGCTTCCGCGAAGCGTTCAATAAACAATTCAGCGGCGATCACTCCGCCCGGGGCGCCTCCGCAACTTCCGCCTCCTCCCACCGCCGCCGGCCGTCCATCTCCGTCGGTGCGCCACGAGGCCGCCGCTGGGCTGGGGTCCCTGCTTTGCATATGTCATGCGGCCGCGTTTTTCGGGCCCTGCTCTGTGTGTGTAATGTGGGGCTGGAGCTCCGAGGAGCTGGCAGCGAGCACCCTGGCTCGGATAAATAGGGTTAGAGCAGACTTTTTGCCTGCTTAGCAAATGGGCACAGCAAGGTACAACCCAGCCCGTCCCGTCGGCGGTCCGAGGACATGAAACAACAAAGCGAGCTGGTACTAGTCG